TGGCTTGCCACAGGCTCCGGTTGTGGATTCCCCAAGAAAATTCATTTGCCTTGGGCTGGGCAACCTGGCAGTATTCGGCCCACTTGCAAATCGTGGAGCGTTTTACTTTTTATGAAGGTTATTGTACCACGATTTGTTTGGCACACATTCTGGATACAGACGTGTGGTATATATATATATATATATATATATATATATGGAGGTCGATCACTTTCTCCAGTGGACGATCGCGACTGCCTGAAACTCTACGCCTCACCTCAGCATTGCTCGCCCGGTTACCCCACCAGACTCCTGCAGTGCGGTGTTCTAACAACGGCAATCTATTTTTATCCTGTTCCCAAAGTTTCTCAACGTGAGACAATAAAAAAAACAGCTGAATAGAAATCGCTCACCATTTATTTCCCCCTAGTAGTTATCAATGTCAAGAAATACATGGAGGAGTAGAGGTGGTGCCTTGCCTGAGTGACTGACTCAAAGCTTTTTGATTGATGAGTCAGCACCATTGAAGATGTCATAAATCATAGTTTGTGATGGATGGATAACCGAATCATCTAATCAGGGTGCAAGCAATCGCTTTCCGGTTAACATAGCTTTTTATCCGTTTTTCATTTCCCTCTAGGATGTTGTCATGCTGTATCAATCACATGGTATCCATCAAAAAGCTCTCAGTGTATTGCAGCAGCTCGGTATGGTTCGCCTCAAACGAATGGGCATTAGTTCACCTGAAGCCTCAAACCTTGTCACACACTCGATGGACGTGCCCCCCATTGATACGAACCTTGTGGATTCTGCTGAGCTTGAATATCTGGGTCACCCGCGAACCATGGTGCGTTATTTAAAATCGCTTGGACCGAGTCACTTTGATTTCGTGGTGGACTACGGAGATTGGGTAGTGCGATGGTACCCGTTCACATGGATGCGTATTTTTGTAGCTTGGGAGCGGCAACTGTACTTGGAACGTCGAGAGCACACGGTCACTAGTCAGGCGGAAACAAGCAGTGAAGTGAAATGTGAGTTTCAGGGAAGATACGCGCAACTGCATAAACATGTATGCTGCTTGGTTTTCATTGACATTTTGGTGGTAAGCAATTTCACTATAGTCCAGCTCAGTACCACACCCAACCTAACGGGGCGTGGTTCATCATTCCAAGTCCCTAATGAAAACCATATCCTTGTGACTATGTGGTTTACCCCTGCTACTATTCATCATTCAGCGGTGTGTAACAGAAAAAAGTCGAGACCGATTCCCACTTTATTTTAGCCTTCATAAAAGGGGACTTTGTTTGACATGCGGGCGGCCGTTCTGCTGTCTGGTTGTTTTAGTCTCTTTTTTACGTTCGAATCTAATCTGAATTTTCTATGTGTTTGTGTGTTTGCTAGGAATAACAACAGAAACGATGATGATGATGAGCTGAACTTCCGCATAGATATGTGTATTTATAATGCTGTCACTTTTCGTTTCCTTCATCACATCACCTGACACAGCCTTCTCACGCTCCTACCGGGGTCAAGTGTTGAAGTATTTGGATGAAAACGCTCCGCATCTGGTTATTCCGTTCATGGAACTGCTCATTTTCGGTCGTCCGGATCGCGAAGTTGATAGCGAAGATGAGGAGGAGGAGGAGGATCAAACAAATGACTCAAATGGAACCATCGAGGAACCGTGTGATCCTCACAGATCACACTCACATCTATCTGAAAAGGTTCGTTCTACAAGTGCTTCATTTTCACTCCTGCACACACTGATTGCACTGATTCAGTCGTTTCTGCCATTTTCTCACTTTTTAATTATCATCTCAAAAACAATGACCGTCTTCAAAACGCTGTCGCAATCTCAGGAATTTCTGTTGACTGATCACTATTTTAGTTCCCTCCCATCCGAATAGTGTTCGGGACCGTCAGAGAAACCAATGATTAAACTTAAAGTTAATGTGTAAATAATATCAAGACAACGATCATCTAAACACGTTTTGCTAGGATTTATCGAACGACTAGCAGAACAAATTTATTATTAGCATCCAGATGGTGTCCTGTGAAGTGTGCTTTTCATGATCTGAGGATTGCATTAGCTTTCGGGGAAAATTAGGATTTATCCATCTGCGTTTCATTGTACTACTACTATTGCTACACACACACACACACACACGTGTCTCTGTCGTGACTCGTTCCATCCGCTTTTCCGCAACTAGGGAATCAGATCTGTACATGGTTGAATTCCAACATCGGGAACCAGGTGATGGTGATAATCATGGATGTGGTGGATGAACTATGTGCGAATTGGTTGACCTGATAATAAAAACAAACTTTAAGATTGTGCTGAGGTCAAGTCAAGTCTACAGCGGCACCCGATTGTTTAAAGCAGAAGATCGGAATTAGCGACAAACAATAGATGTATCTTAGTTTCCACCATCACACATGTGGTGTGTTAGATGAATGCTGCTCTCACATGTGTAATATTCTGTGTTCTGTTTATTTCAAGGTCATCACTCGTGTATTGTTTGGGTGCCTGTTTCTACTCTTGTTTGTTACCAGACGGTTATTATAACCGTATTATTTTAGTTTTTCCTAGGAGTCCTTCATGTCCCCTCCTCTTCCTCATTGAGGATCAAAACCATCACGGATGCTTTGTTCTGTTGTATTCAGTCCTAAATTTGTAGCTTTCATTCAGTTTACTATAGTGCATGAAACACTTAATCCCAACCTTCCGTTCGGTAATCAAATAATCCACACTGATACAGAAAGTTCGTTTTAGGATGACGGAACTCATCTCCCCTTTGGATAAACAGGCTTATTTTGATTGCGACCATGCTAAATTGATTTATCGTAAAAGTATGCCTCTTAGTTTATGAAATGCTACCTCCTTTCGTTATAGTGATCTCCGTATCCCGCAAACTAATAGACATTAGTCAGCTTTGCCTCAGATATGTTGGACATTGTCCACTGACTCAGTATTGAATTATAATCATATTGTATACAGTAGGCGAACGACCATTCCCAAGGTCATGCTTCTTCGTGAAGTCCATGAACTTGTCAGCTTTTCAAACAGTTGAATGGCACATAGTTCGGGGTTATCTGAACTGTAACAAATTAAAATCATTCACCTAGAGAGATCTGGATGCCAGTATTTGCAGGTGTACTGGAAAGCTTCATCAATCACTGAAGATGGTTTCGCAAGCTTTTGATCTACATATCGGTGTAATTTCAAGAACCTTTATAACTTGACGAGCATGATGTATAGTAAACATGTAAACGCTTCACTGAAGTTGAAAGGTTGTGTATGTTGTGCTAGCGTTCGTTCAGTCCTGATTTATGGTTGTGAGACCTGGAATTTGCGAGTAAAAGATATCCGTCGACTAGAAGTTTTCGATTATCGGTGTATGTGTAGTTTAGCCCACGTGGGATGGAGCGAACGGGTTAGTAACGTGGAGGTAAACCGTCGCGTGTCTGAGAGTCAGATATAAACCTGCCAGCACACCGAATTCAAATTAGTAGACTTAACTGGCTAGGGCACATATTGCATATGCCCAGCCATCATCAGCCGCATCGCGCTTTATTCGCTGTAGCTAATCCAAGCTGGAGGAAACCACGTGGAGGTCAATAGATGAGGTGCAGATGAGGCATGAAGAAATGCACAGAGCCATTAGGTAGAGTAGGTGTCTCGCACCTTCTGGGTTGGGGTCCGAAAGACTCCACAGCCAGTTGGTTGGAGACACTGAAGGATATGGCAACGAACCGGCAGCAGTGGCGCTTTGTTGTCGTTTCTTATCAGGTCAGAATGCTTGAAACGGTATGTATGCAGAGTTCGATTGTGCACTCTGTGTTGACCATAGTGCTTCACCTTCTTCTCCCTCAAAATAGGTTCAATTCCTGTCCGCCTTAAGTTTTACCACTAACCTTGTATGCATTGTGAGTTTGGCAGCGGTCAGTGAAGTTCGCCTCACTGTATTTCACTTTACGTTGATGATGAAAACTAAAAGATTTGTTCGCTTCTTTCGATAAATTTTCAGATTCACCCAGTTAGGATGACTCCGATCAAGTGAAACTGACTGGCAGGGTTTTTCCATTCAGGAAATCTCGGACCTATTGGAGCATGAAATTTTTCAGATCCAATTCTAGTAACTTCAGAAAAAGCTTGTCGCTGGGCGCTATGAGGCTTTACGGAATTCTACAAAAACTGTCTATTGTCCATCGTGATGAAACCGCACCTCGACCTGAAAGGTTAATAGGTAGAGGCCAGAAAAGCTCAGTCTCACTAGGCCAACTACTTGACCACCTCCTGGCTTCTTTCGACTATCCACGCCTGCCCCTGGATAGGTTATTTCAGCAAACGAGCACGGAGATGGGCAGTATTACGGTCCAAAAATCCCTGCTAGATGGACGTAGGAGCGGGGTACCTTTGGCTTCCTCTCGACGGTAGAAGAAATCTTCGCACCTCATTGGACATCTATCGCCCGCTGAAGCTGGGCATCCCCCAGCCAATCCCGTCCACGCTCCGCTTGTCTCATTGGGTGCATGAGGCTAAGGGCCGATCTCGAACAGCGGACCGTCAATCAACGCACCAACGAACAACACACTGAACCGAAAAACGAAGACCTTGCGTGACAGTTCTCTAGAAGCTCCCACACGGATGCTTGAGTCGTGCTCCCGCGTTGGATCCACTGCTTTGTAGGTCAATTTTTTGAGTCGAAAGCTCCGGTTAGGGTTCCTCAAGATAAACCCGGTGTGGGCTGCTGCGAAATACATTGTGCCTAAGACTTTACTCTGAGGCACCCATTTTCAAGAACCTTCCTCCAACCTATCTTGTGCTTCCTCTCAATCCCGAATAATCCCATTTGTCTCCTGTTTACGCCGTCCATCGGATTTCACGCAGTGTTTTATCAATAAGACCAAACAGAATCAAACCCACTATTGCGGTCTTTCTCCCTTCTAAAAGTCGACCGGTCTACCTTTCCGTGAAGGGTTTGCCCGAGACGTTTAGTTGAATATTACAGTCCCTTCATACTAATAGCCGAAGCTGAGTTTCCCACGGAAAGTGGTGTTCGTCAGGGTTGCTCTCTCATTTTCGATTTAACTTCGTTGCAAATTTGATTGTAGACACCCCTGTCCTGATGCGAGGATAATGAAATCGGGTTTCTCCCTGGTGGGAAACTCTCTGATCTGGAGTATGCAGACAAAATTGTACTGTTCAGTGAAGATGCAGATAAGTTGCAGTGGCTTGTGTAACCATGTTCGGTATGTGCATGACATATTCACAGTGCAAAATATCACTCAGCCTCACTCTAACTGGGGAAGTAATAGACCAAATGGACAATATTTGTTATTTAGGTAGCCATATCCCTCCCGGTGCACACAACACGGATGAAGTATCAGCTTGCATATAGAAGGCTCGATTGACATTTACTAACCTGAGAGATCTGTGAGGTCGTCGCGACATCCGGTTGTCCGTGAAGGGTCGAGTGTATACTGCTGCAGTTCGGCTAGTTCTACTGTACAGCGCAAAAACTAGGCCAATAAGAAAGAAGGATAAAGATAGAATCCGTTTCAGGTTTTACCACCATTAACCATGCAATTGCATGCGCCGGTTGTGGCTGCTCATTGGGATAAGAAGAGCAGAATGAAGATTGGGATATAGAGATCAAAGGGAAATTCGGGAATTCACAAAGACTGTGGTTACCGGAATAGAATAGATGCAAGAGCGACACTGTTTACGACACTTAGCCATATACTTCAGCGTCTTTAACCACCGGTTGCCATGATTTCGGAGTCCACATTCAGGGAGCCTAACGGGACCTATCAGACCCAGTATCCTGGTTAGGGTAATGTCACATGTTTCAAGAAATCGATCTATGAAAAAGTTAAATACAAACGGAGAGAGAGGGAAACCCTGACGGACATCACTTTCCGTAGTGAACTCTGGCTAAAAAATGCCGCGAGCTTGGACTCGACTTCCACTGTTAATATAAAAAGATCGCAAAATTGTAATTAA